TTTCTTTTATGTCACATTATGGGTGAGTATATTTTTAACAGTCCACTGGGGTTTAGAGAACTGAGAAACTTCAAATGGATGTAAGACTGTTTTTGAAGAGGTAGCTGAAACACATTTATAATTGCCAGGAATGACTCCGAACACGTCAAGAATGTAGATACAGTACATATCGACAGAAACTTAACACCAATGAAAGTTAATCACTGGCTCAGTTTGGTTGACATAATAATTTTGAAAAAGACGGTATAAATGAAGCCAATGAAGAAACAGAAGTGGTATATAGAAGTTTAACAGTGAAACGTAATGTCAGTCCTGTTCAGAGTTAAGACTGGCTTGTTCACAGTGTATCCTGTTATTCTCTGTTCTTTTAAATGTGCTTCATTGTGGTTGATTGTCAACAGTCTGTGCGAGATAATAAGGGATACATGGTAAGAAGGCATAAAGGGAGAATGACATCATCAACAGTCAGCAATGTGTTGCCTTGCGACTGTATGGACATTAAATGTGATAAAACTTTAATTTAACACTCTTACTGTCTTACATGTGCGTGCTGCCATGCAAATAAACAAACAGGCAATTTATACAATGTGTATTTACACATTTATGTACACAAATAAACATATTAAGCTGCACCTCCAGAAATTATTTCAATGGGATCTTTTTCATTTTGGTTTCGTCTTTGCTGATGTTGGATCAGTGGTTCAGTCCAATTCAGTTTGATTTGCCACAGGAAGAAGGCGTGGCCAACAATGTGACCCAGTGTAAACAGACAATAAAACAATAGCAAACAAGAAAAACTAAGATACAGACTGAAAAATGTTTTGGTGAGCAACATGCACTAAGTTTGTAAACGCAATACCCAGCAACACATTTCATTTTGCCTGACATGACCTAGTAACCATGGCAACAAAACCACATAGTCATCTGTGGAGAGGAAAGAGTCTCCTTCCTGTTCAGATGAAGGTGAAAAAAACCATCATGAAGATGAACAGAGAGACCAAGAATGGATGTTTGCATCAGGAAAGAAGAAGATGAACAGAATGACGCTGCCTTCTTCTGCTCTCATGACTGACAGTGAGTGATGAATTTTAAAAGCATAACTCCATCCTCCCACTCTGGCCTTTTAACTTATTGCTCTGTCTGCCCACTTTGTGTTCTAATCACAGCAGCATGCTTCCTTTTTCATTTGCATAATGATAATGACACGAGGAAAGTGTATTTGTGTGTGTGCGTGCAATGTGTTTGCCCGTTCTGCAGCCTGGCAATCTGTAATTAGGATTCTGCTGCCTCTGTTAGGTCTATTAACAGCTTTTACTGGGTATCCCCATTCCTAGCAACAAGAGACTAATTACACGGCTTAAAAGCTGGGAATCCTATAAATGACTCATCGTTCATTACAATCTAATCTTTTAGGTCAAATATAGACAATGAAATCATCCTCACAGTGGTTTTCAGATTAAAGCTATAACCTGTGATTCATAACTGTTAATGAAAAAAATCAGGTGTTAAAAATTGTAAATATTAAAGAGGGGGGGAGGGGGGGGGGTATACGACAGACTGTTGTATTTGGCAGTTTTGGTAGTTTGTGATCCACTTCAAGAACGCAAAGTCCGAACTACCACCAATCCAAATCATGCAAGTTATTTTTAGCAAAGCAGTGCTTTGAGCTAAATACCAACATCAACATGCTAACATAGTCACAATGACAATGTTAACATGCTGATGTTTAAAACCAATCTTTACCATTGTAACCATGTTAGTTTAGCGCGTTAGCATGCTAATATTTGCGAGCACTTGTGTCTGTGTGCAGTGTTAGCACTGTAGACACAGTGTAGCACAGTATAACGTAGCGTGTGATGGGAAAGACATTAGACATTCAATGGCAAAGCTAGTCTGTAATATTTGATGTCTTATACCCAGAGGACGGAGTGAGTTCTCTTGAATCCATGAATTTCAGGTTGGATATTAATTATGTCTTAGTCAAAGACATTAAATCCAAATTGCTCTCAATTGCTCCTACATATCTGAAGTCAGAGCTTTGTCTATAAGTGGTAAGGTCACGTCTAACCATGTCTGCTCAATCTGAGAAATGGTAATTATTTTTCATATTTTATTCATGAAGTTAAACATCTGGTACTTTGACCGAGTTCTGGACTGAGGAAAATGATTGCTTTGTTGAGGGGGTTTGTGAACATGTTTCTCAAGTTGAAGCATGAAAGGTGATATATGAATACATTGTGGACACAAGTTCTCTAAAAGTTTAAGGCACTGGGTATATACAGGTGTGTGCAGTATATATAGTACATAGGTGAGTTAGAGGAAAAATAGTAATCCATCTTACAAATGCAATAAACAAAGAATAAGATGCTTTCACAAGCGATGAGGTATTATCAGTTAAATCAAATAGATGAGAGGGTTTTATTTAAAGTCATGTCACATGTCTGCTGTTTTAAACAGGCAGATACAGAGACAGACCCATAGATAATTAACACGGGAAGTGTAGAGCAAGAGGGATGAGGGAGAGGTCAGACTATTCGATGGAGTGCCTGTTAATAGCTTTATTTCTGTTAACTGCACAAACCAGCACATTCAAGGGCGTAATCATTTCAGTGGTGGAGGAGACGTCTACTGGGAACTGCTCGAGCCATGACAGCTTTACTGTGTAGGAGTGGTGTGTTCCTACAGTTCACTACGGCACACTGCTTCTTGACTCTGTAACTCTTTGGTATACCTATAATGACAACCTGACCTCAAAAGTATGAAAAAGGAAAATGTTACACACATTGTATTTACACAGTGGTAGTGGTCATTGAATATTTTTGTCTGACTGAACCTACAGTTTTCTCATAAGGGCTGCTTTGCCTTACACACACACATACACACACACACACACACACACACACACAATAGTTAAAGATACCATTACCATTTCACATGTTGATTGTAAAGTAATTTAGCCATAAAATTGACTTTGTGATATTGTCACCGAACACTTCAATGGGTTATGTGGAAGTTTTAACTTCCACAACAGGGGATGTCTTGACTGCAGTCAGAGTGGGAGAGAGAGCAAGGGTGATTTAAGATACAAGGATTCATGTAATTTGTGTTGTCAGTCAGCTCGTGCTCATTTGATTCTCCAAATTTTATAAGACTGTCTGAAAGCCCAAAGACCTGTGCCTACCTCTTACAGGCATAAGGCAAAGATAATGAAAACTGCATTCTTGAATTAAATCAAGGTTTATATTTGAGTCAGATGAGAAGGGTAATTTGATTTCCCTAAATTCAAGGGTCATTCATGGGAACAAACCCAGCAGCCTCCACTCAGGGCGAGTCTCTCATCTCTCTGCAGAATCATACCTACTGGCATGCGTTAGAGATATAGTGTGATAGACAGTCAGATAAAAGATAGGAATTACACGTGCTCTCAACAAGATTTGAATGTAGGATAGCAGAAGCTTTTTCATTTCTACTCTCAGTGTGAAAGGCTTTCTCTCTTCAACAATGCAGCGGCTGCAGTGAGAACAACGTGTATGGGGAGATTATGAAACACATAAAGTGAAATGTTGCATGTTTTAGTGCTGCCTCGGCAACTTCTGACATATGACGTGTGTGTTGTAAGTGTTGTAATATCACACTCTTACACCCTCTTTTTCAAGTGATGAGGTACATTTCATAGTTTAACATTTTCCATCAGATTATATACTCTTATTTTGGTAATGTATATCTGTCACAAATCAGTTCATCTGATTATAGGCTGCCGCACACCAGAATACTAAAACCAAAAGCATTCCTGCTCTTGGTAGCACTTCAGTGGCTGACAAATTGCAAGACTGAGAAAGGTAGGAGGTTGTGATTTTTCTTTCGCTGGTTTAATTTTCCAGTATTTTCATGGTTCACAAATAACTCTGAGAGACAGGTTCAATACATGTTTGAATCCCAGATACTTTTGACCAATTTTCCATCAATAATTTGGGTTTTCAAGGTCCATAAATTCAAAATCCACCACCAGATCATCCATAAGGCCACGGGTCTGGCTCAGCAGACCACACATAAAGTTCAGGCTCGTAGATGGAGAAATGATGGAAGTCGAATTTTAGATGAAATGAAATGATGTGTGTAGAAGGAGATTCAAGGTGAATGATAACCTCAGAGTCCAAGGACACAATCATTCTTCCCTCATTTAATTTATTTTGAAAGGCAGCATCATTTTTAAAAAAAAATATAATACTGCAAAGGATTACAGTTTGCAAAATGTCATTTCTGGTTTCCATCAAATTTCAAAAGTACATGCTTCTCTCATTTGGACAGAAAGGCACATACTATGACCAGAAATGACCAAGGTCGGGGCATCGAGTGGCGCAGTGGTCTAAGCGGGCGCCCCATGTGTAGCGGCTACAGTCCTCGCTGCAGTCGGCCCCGGTTTGAATCCCGCATCGGACGGCCCTTTACTGCATGTCATTCCCCCTCTCTCTGCCTCCCCATTTCCTGTCTCTCTATACTATCCTGTCCAATAAAGGCACAAAAGCCCAAAAAAATATACTTGAAAAAGAAATGACCAAAATCGACAATATGTTAGTCTGTACCTCAATAGTTTGTGTGGCCCAGACTCACAGACTCACTCTCATTCCTCAATTTCCTAAACGAGCTGGGGAATGTAGCTAAGAGATGAGAGTACGTGGGATTGAGTCAGAATAAACGAGGAAAGGTGTTTTTAACACAACAATGGGATTTGTTGACATATAGAAAATAGAAACTATAGAATATCAGCAGTGTTAGCCTTTAAGTGAGCAAAGAAGAGACAGAGAAGCTTCACCTTGGCAGCTATGCATCTGAATAGTCCAGATAGGAGCATCACCTTTCAACACTGTGTGCTCTCTGCTAGGTGGTACTCTATAAATACCTTGGGTTTATTTAAAAATGAATTGGAAAAATTATTAAGCAGAATGGAGTTGAGATAACTTGTATTTAATGACGGATGATAGGTAACAGAAGGTACTTACAGTATTGTACCTCATTGTTGTTCAGTCTCACATCGTGCCCTGGCTCAGCTAATGGAGCTTGAGATGCCTGGAGTGTCTGAGAGAGAAACATTTGCAATTACAGTCCACACCATGTTCTTTCCTGGAAATTGCCTCGGGCAGTTGGTGAGACGGCTACATTAGTTGCAGAGCTGTAAACAACATTCAAGTCCCACTCTGGTCCAACACCTCATTACGCAACACTTGAGGTATGAAGAAGAAACACTGTCTGAGAATCATAGTTCATCTGTCCCCGAAATATCTGATGCTGTAGTCATCTAGTCAGCTGCTCCTCAGGTTGGCAACTACACTTGAAAAAAAGAATGAACAGCCCACAGCACTTAAGTTTCACAGTAGTGTGAAGAAGAGATAGTAGGAGTGAACTGCTCATTGTCGCTGCAGACCGGACAGCGCTTGTTCAGACAAATACTAATATTTTTTTCTTCTTTGAACTGCAGCAGGGAGAAAGAAACTGCAGCCTCAGGGGAAAGATGTTTCCTGTGGAAGCTTCTGCTCAGCACACAGAACCGTCTGTGATAAAGGCTTTCTTTTCAGCAAACACTGCATTTTAATCTCAGCACCTTGATGACACCCTCACCGTGAAGACTATAGTCCTTTTCATCCACTGAGTAGCGAAGCTCTATAGTTTACATACCACCGGGTCTTCTTTCTAAGTCATCTCATCCAAATGTGAAAAGCTTTTTGTGTTCTGCCCCTTGCACCTTACCAGGGCCTGTATTCAGTTCTCCGATGAGTCAAAGAAGAAGAGATATTATAGCTTTTGAAAAGTGCATACCAGATGAATTGTGAAGTGCGGTCATCTACAGTAAAGTAACTATTACTGGTGTGTGTGTAGTATGGAAGCAAGGTGGGGGTTTGCAATTCAGTTGCCCAGCAACACAAGCTGCAGTTACTGTTGCGCTATCACGCCTGTGTCACGGGCACCAAGGAGCAAATATATGTCAGTCAGGGTTCAAATGCTTAACCTCCCTTTGTCCTCCCTTTGTGATGCTTTAAATCAGCATCACATTTAGAGGAAATCATATCCTCAACCTCAACTTTATCCTCATTCTGCTCATTGTTGTGTAACCAAAATGAGAATTTGTTGTGAGACATGAGTTTCACACCTCTTACAGTCCTGTTGGCGCATGCAGAGAGGAACATACTGGACATCATGGCCAGATATAGCAACAGCTCCGATTTTTCTGTCAAATGCAACGTGATGGTTTTGCAGACTGTGACGCTGCTAAATGCATTGTCACATACCTGCAGAGCATCCTACTCTACATCACACCTACAGGTGGAGCTAAATATGTCAGACACTGTGCACTCTCCTGTCTGACTGAGCCTGGGACCTTTTCTTAGGTCTGCTCAATCACTAAAATATAATGAGTTCAATTTCTCTGTAATAATAAAAACCTCGGTAGTGCTCTCTTCGGACTATCTGCACTTACCATTTGAGGTTAAACGGCACAAGAGCGATTACTGTGACACGATGCGAGCAGAGAGAGACGTGGACACACAGGAGCAGAACAGACTGCAATTAATTTCCAAAGTGTAGAAAACAGAAAATGAAATGAATGAAGAGCTTTGAGGAGAAATATAGACAAAGGGATATTAATACTTTTTTAAAAAAAACTTTCTTTATGACAATAACTATATGACTAAAATGCAGACTAACAGATAAGTCATATAAGAGAAAGGGCTGGTGAGTGGTGCACCAAGTTTTTGGGGAATTTTAGGAAGGCTTTGTCTTATTAAAGGGCTGAGCTGTTTTAAATGTCAGTACTCATCAAAAGAAATGACAGCAGCTTTTCAATGCCTTCTAAACAATGGGCCTATAGTGATACTGGTCTTATGTAAAAATTTAAACATTCTTCATACAAAACACAATAAAAAAAAAGACAGAATAGGAGCTCCTGCACTGATAATTTCCCAGTTGTTTCCCAGTTGAAACTTGCCAAATGTGTAAATTAACAACTTATCCTCATTACATTGATAGAAAACATCACCTGGTTGCAATAATGTTTCCTACAAAACATATTTGCTGTCAAAGTTTAGTTGTATAGAAATGTAATTCCTTGGAGACAGGGTTACAATGGGAGTTTTATGCTTGAGGAATAATGTAAATCAGGTTTTGGTTATTTTACGGCAGAATTCATCCATTATTAGTTTTAGTATTTTCATGGGATTTGTTGACAAAAAGAAAAATATATAATAAATATGACCAGATTTACCCTTTAATTGTTACTACACCTGAGCAACTGGCAGCAAAACAGACAGTAGCTACCACGTCAGACAGGATATAATCGTTGATTAATTTCACATACAGACTGTTGCGGGTAAACAGAAGGCCATGGATTAACATCTGGTTAGCCCATATCCATTCCCTACCAGCATCATTTCCACACAGATGGCACCTGCTTCCTGGTGTGAGATAGGAGAAAGTACACAACACATGGAGATGAATTCCAAACACAGCTGAATTTCCCCATTCCTATTCATTGTGTGTGCCTGTGAGAGACAGAATAAGCTGTATCTGCTGTGACCTACATGGCAGGGAGCACTCTGATCCAACACCCACACTATTCGTCTCACTAATGTGGAGCACAATGAGTGTTTGAAGAGAGTGTTTCAAAAGTGGCATTAAAAATGTCTGTTCTACGCTGCAGTACAAGTTGGGGAAGTAAACTCATTCTCAATTGAGAGGTGCTGTAAACCCCAGAAAACATTTAAAATGGACTTTTGCACATTAACAGTTTGCTTTATATACTGAATGTTGTGTAACTATCATTAGTTGAAATGCAATGGGGTGTTGTTGGAATCTAATCACAGGCTTGTATGATCTGGATAGTGCAAATGCAAAAGCCGGCTTCCAAGTATAGCATGTGCCACCAAGATGAATGTGTCATCCAACGGATAATGAGCTGTTGGGCTGCCGTGGGCCACAATGGGAAATGGGTAACCACAAAGTCAATCTGATAGGAGGAGAGGGAAGACTTCTGTGGGTGCTTCCTCATCAAAGCCCACCATATGATAATATCTTTGGGCAAGAGCTTGTTATGCAAGGTGCAAAACCCCAGTCATACATGCTTCAGCAGACTCGCACTCAAAGGTTTCCCTGATGTCTAAAAGCATGAATATTTTACCACAGACATTCGCTATTTGTCTCTACAGCAACATCCTCTTTGTTAAAAATCAGAAGATCTTTTGTGGTTTGGGGGATGCTGCAGTTCAGTGGTCGTGTCTGCATGAGAGGACGAGGTGGGAGTTAAATATGTGAGCCCAATCACTTGTGTGGATTTCCCAGTTCAGCTCTCAGATGTATATCGATTGGTTTGTCATTGTCTGACCGCTGTTTGTCAGTTGCCTGCGAAGACAGAGGAAAGTACTTAGATGAGTGCTCTAAAAACAAAGTGCAGATTCCCCAGCATATGTATGTGTGTGTGTGTGTGTGTGTGTGTATGTGTGTGTGTGTGTACCTATCCACAAATACATGGAGAACTGGAATGACAAACAGTGGGGGAGTAGCAAAAGAAACAAAAGTTTGAAACTCAGGCTATTATTAAACCCATTGCTTTTCTGCTCCAAAGATCTTTTCTTAATTAATGAATCAATGTAGTGTCAGGAATGAAAGGCAGACAAAGATGTCATTCTGTCACTTGTATGAATAGCTCTTATAATTTCACCACACACAGGGATATTATAAGCTCACCTCATGTGTTGGTTCTGCTGCTGCTGCTGTTGCTGTGTGTGTGTGTGTGTGTGTGTGTGTGTGTGTGTGTGTGTGTGTGTGTGCACATCTACTTGTATGCATATGCTTCCTCTATGCAAACCTCCCTGTCAAACAACCGAGCCCAGAGGAAAAGTTATTTTCTTCATGGCAGGATGTGTCACTGATCTCATAATAATAATCTTGGATCCTGCAGGAGGAGGAAAAAGCTGGAAAGAACAGAGTAATTGGTGAAAAAAAAGAAGCATTTTCTGCATGGGAGACATCCACCATGGCCTTACTTCTATATACGTTGGGGTATAACGCTAACATTTCCATTTCAGTTTCAGCAGCAAGTTTTGACTATACTTTTTTCATCCCAATGGGAAATTCATTCATTAGCCTCACTGCTTATCCTCTAAGGGTCGCAGGGGAGCTGGAGCCAGTCCCAGCTGACATTGGGCTGAGTTCATTCAGGACAGGTCGCCAGTTTATCACAGGGTTAACATACAGAGACAAACAGCCATCGGCCCTTACATACACACCTACGGGTAAATTTAGAGTCGCCAATTAATTTAACCTGCATGTTCTTGGATGGTGGGAGGAAACCAAGGTACCCAGAGGAAACCCGCGCAGGCCCGAAGAGAAGATGCAAACTCCACAGAGTTGTCAGCTGGCCGGCAGGTTTGAACCCAGAGCCTTCTTGCTGTGAGGCAACAACCACTGCACCACCGTGCTGCCCCAATGGGAACTTGATAGCACTAAAACAGCCGAAGTCACGCGTGAACCAAGATCTTAACTAAAAACTGACCTAACTTAAACCAGGACCATGTGTGATAGTCCCAGTTCTGTGATATGGTTGGTGCAAGTGTATCCATCATCTAAATCTGTATCTAAATCCTTATGTGCTGTCTCTCGTAATTCTTGTAATAAACACTCATCGTTTCCAGCAGATGAGATGAAAGTTTCTGGCCCCGCGAGAACGACATCAATATTTTGTCTTTACAACCTTACATTTCCATATTGAATTACACTCTCATGGATACATGTTACTGCATTCTGCATGGCCAAACAACCCAGCAGTTATCTCCTCTCACCAGCTTGCATAGTGAAGTATGTGTTTATGAGTGTGTGTGTGTGTGTGTGTGTGTGTCACCAATACTGTTGTCATCCCCCATATTAATCTTAATTGACCCCCCTGTTGCTGAGGTGTACTGGTGTGACAGAGCACTGTGGGATAGGTGACACAGACATCTCAGTGGGTGGTGAAGAACATGGGGAAAAATAAGGGCTTTTCTCTACATCAAAGTCTGGATTGAGATAGAGCAAAAAAAAGTGGAGAG